GGATTTTTCGAAGGCGTTCAAGTTGTCTTGTGATGCGTCGAAGGTGGGCATTGGGGCTGTACTTGGCCAGGACGGTCGCCCGGTTTCATTTTTTAGCGAGAAATTGTCCGGGCCTCGGTCGCGTTACAGTACTTATGATGTCGAGTTCTACGCGGTGGTCCGGGCTGTTCGTCATTGGCGGCACTATTTATTTCACCGGGAGTTTATTCTTTACACGGACCATGAGGCATTGCGTCACTTGGCGTCTCAGGACAATATTTCTGCCCGGCATGCCTCTTGGACTGCATTCCTTCAGCAGTTTACCTTCGTTCTTCGTCACCGCTCGGGGGTGTCGAACAGGGTGGCGGATGCTTTGAGTCGGCGGACACTCTTGTTGACAGATATGCGGGTGTCGATTCTCGGTTTTGATGCCTTACGGGAGCACTACGCGGCCGATACTCTTTTTGGACCTATCATTCAGCGTCTCGCGCGGGGCCCGGTGGACGACTATGTCCTGCTCGATGGTTTTCTTTTTCGCGGGACCCGCCTATGTATTCCGGAGGGCAGCTTGCGGCTCAGGCTTGTGGCGGATTTGCACGGCGCCGGGCATGTGGGCCGGGACCGTTCGGTGGAGCTAGTGAGCCGGCGCTATTATTGGTCGTCTCTTCGTCGCGATGTCGGTCGTTATGTGGAACGGTGTCGGGTTTGTCATGTGGCCAAGGGTGTTGCTTCGAATGCCGGGCTTTATCGCCCCCTACCTATTCCTTCCCGGCCTTGGTGTGCGGTATCTATGGATTTTGTTGGGATTGCCTCGAACCCAACGCGGCTTTGACTCTATCTTTGTGATCGTTGATCGTTTCTCGAAGATGGTTCACTTTGTGCCGTGTAAGCGCACGACGGATGCCGTGCATGTTGCTCAACTGTTCTTTCGTGAGGTTTACCGCTTGCATGGGCTTCCTTCGTCCATTGTCTCGGATCGTGACACTCGATTTTTGAGTCATTTTTTGCGTAGCCTGTGGCGCATGGCGAACACTCAGTTGCATTTTAGTAGCGTGTACCACCCTCAGACGGATGGGCAGACGGAAGTGGTGAACCGTTCGTTGGGCAACTTGCTTAGATGCTTGGTCGGGGACAACCTTCGTAGTTGGGACCAACGGCTTAGCCAAGCCGAGTTTGCTCACAACTCGGCCGTGAGTAGGGTTACGGGCTTGTCCCCTTTTGAGGCAGTTTATGCGGTAAGACCGAGGGGGCCGTCTGACCTCGTGGCGCTTCCTTCGGCAACTGACGATCGGCGGGCTACTGATTTTGTGACGGATTTGCGGGCTACACATGAGGTCGTTCGGGCTCGATTGGAGTCCACCACCGCGGCATACAAACAGCGCGCGGACGTCCGGCGACGTCACGTCGAGTTCGATGTCGGAGACTATGTGTGGGTTGTTCTTACGAAAGATCGCTTCTCGGCTCATGAGTTCAACAAGCTGTCGGCTCGGAAGATTGGCCCGGTGGAGATAGTGGAGAAGATTAATCCGAATGCTTACCGCCTTCGTCTGCCTTCCCATATTCGCACTTCGGACGTTTTTAACGTCAAGCACTTGGTGCCTTTTGCCGGGGATAATTCGGACGGAGACGAGGCTGGTTTGGATTCGCGGCCGAATCCTTCTCAATCGGGGGAGGATGATGGAGACGAGGCTGCCTTGGCATATTTGGATAAATTTGATCGGCTTCGGATTTAGTTCTTTATTTATTTTATTTCTCTTTCCTTTTATTTATGCATTTTCCTTATTTCCTATTTTAATTTAGGTAAGATAATAATGTCCTTGCAGTTGTTTGGCAAGGTAGGACTCTCTTTTCTATTTATTAGCTGCTGTGAGAATTGAAAAGACGATTGGAAATTTTATGAAATTATCTGGTGTTCTATTTTCACGAGAGAGTATCTCGTTCTTCCCTGTTTACATATCACGTTCTACATCACTTCTAAATTCACAAATACCCTCAATCCAATATATGGAAGATAATATATGATATCTCTGATCATCAAGAATCATATAAAGTTCAGTATTACTTAATTCTTCGATTTTACAAGTTTCAGGGATGCTGCTTCACAAATACTCTCAATCCAACAGACAACAGCTATTTCGTGTGACTTCACTTTGATTTTTCAAAAGAAAAAATTTCCGCAGAAAGAAAGAACAATTAAATTTAGACGCTGTCAAGGGTAAATATTTATTCAAGCTGTACTTAGCATTAAGAATAAGCAGATCAAAAGGCAGCAGTATAAGATTAAGTTGTCGATTTTCTAAAGTTCCTTAAAAAGTCTTGGAATTACAGTTCGTCTGCCGACATTGATACAAGTTATAACCTCAACCATTAAAGGCCTAAAGGAAGGCCATGGACACCAAATGAAACAATTTACCGTAGTCTACATAAAATAAAGACCCACGACTTTAGCCAACACAAAAATGTCAATATACTTGTCAACACTCTATGTTTGTTTAATAATATTAAAAAGAAAAACATTAATCACAGTATTCTAAAAGATAACTCTTGTACCTGGATGGATGTAAGTATAGCAGCAGCATCATATATAGGGCTCCACTGATTCTGTAAGATGTCCAGACAAATACTTCCATCTTCCATCTGCATAAACTGAATCCAAGATAAAATTCAAAATGAGATTCACATTAAGCTAAAAGAATCAACAAACTGATTTTTTTTTAATGTCATTCTTACTATTAGGGTGGAACATCCGAGAAACAAACCGAACAGTAGGTGGCTTGTTGGGATAATCTTCTGTGAACTGGAGTGTCAGTTTGAACGTACCTATTACACTCAAAGGACAAGGCATAACGTTCCAATCGACCCGTATCATCACAAACAAAACGAAATGCAACTCAAAATATAAGTACACAAGATGTAATGCACAAAACCTATGACAGATGAACTTCAACAAATAACATAAAATTCTAATGGTAGGCCATCGGGCAAGGAGCATCATACACAAAAGAGCACAAGGTAACATGCATTATCATGTGATTTAAGAATAGAAGTCAAAATAAGGGAGGCAGACTACAAAATCTTCATAAATATTTCTTTGGTCTTGGTTCTAGAATGTGGTTGCCACATACATTCACAGTACTATTTCACAATAATGACGAACAAAAAATTCAGAGCAGGCAAGAAGACGGGGCTTTTACAAGGAACTAAATGAAAGTAAACAAGAAAAAAAAAAATGGTGTCAACGCTTAACATTGTGCTCGAAGATATCAAGTGTTCCAAAGAGATAAATAATTTGTGTTGGCGAACATATTTCTAAATACAGACGATTACCATAGTTAACGTTATAAATCAACTAAGCAACATCAACATCAACATCAACATACCCAGTATATTCCCAAATAGGTTGGGGTCTGGGGGGTCAGTTGTACGCAGACCTTACCCTTGTAATTATACAAGGAGGCTGTTTCCATAGCGACCCAAGGTGCGTTGCGTCGTTTGATATATTTTTTCTAGAAACTCCACTAATAGAAGAAGCACTAGAATTTAATTGAGTCATTTTTGATCTAGTTCTCAGTCGTTTGATATAAATCAACTAAGCAACACAATATAAATTCAGTTCTCAGCCGTCTCCAAAGATTAGCAATAATTTCTTGATATATGAAGCAAATGGAAAAGTAGAAATATTGAATATCACAAGCAATGGTACAACAAGCATACTACAAAATCTTTATAATCAAGGTAGTGGGATAGATAAATATATGCAAACAAAACAAAAGTGAGCAATCATGGTGTTCAAAAAAGGAAACAGAAAGAAAGAAAGAGATTATGTTGCTACATATCAGTGAGGACTAGATTAACTCACCTCCATCCCAAGGTGTATCATCTGGACTGCAATCCACATGAGACAAGAAAGATATAATACATAAGACGACTTACTCAACAATATTCAAAAACATTAAAAAAGAATGACAAAAGTCACAAAACAATCATTCAACATTCATTAAATTAGCGAACCCATCTTTTTTTTTTCTTTTTCTGGTAAACCAAAGCATGCTCACCCGAATATAACCGCATTCCACAGCATAATATTATTGTCTTGCGGGGCTCCACTGATGCCTGCAGGTGGGTCCTGCTGCAACCTCCTGAAGTCCCTCATCAGCCTCTTCCGAGCTGGTGTCGACATCTCAAACCCCTGATGACAAAAAATTAACACCAATTTTAATTTATTAGCAAGTTGATAATGGAGACAGGTTACTTTATTAAAACCTACATTATAATCTCCAAACGAAAACGAACTCCGTTTTCATATGAGCAGGTTGGCCCAAGCATGATCAAAATATGAATTTACCTTGCCAAGATTACCCAATCCATAGAGAATTCACAACCCTAAAACACCAACGTTAATTGAAAAAAAAAAATAGAAAAACAGAAAGGAGTGAAAATAATAGATAAAATTAGGGCTATCTAAGGTAAGCAACCCTAGCTTCCAAATAGCTATAAATCCGAAGAACACTTCATATTCAGGAAAAGGAAATATCAGTTAACACGATCATTCGACTACTCGAACACACAATTGCTCATATGCTAGCTAAAACAATATACCGCAATCCAGATTCT